TAGATTTGGATCATGTTAGCAGATTAGCCTTGAAAAAAGGGACCAAACAAGGCTCTGTGTGAAAAAAGCAGAGGTTTCTCCCCCTTCCCCTGGGGCCCCCCCCAACCAGAAGACAGTAAGGAAAAAAATGTATTAGAAAATATGTAAGTCAGAATTGTAGCTGCAATAGGTTTATATTCTCCCCTAGCCTGATCTTCTCTATGTATCTGTTTCTGCTAATAAAAAATGGGATCCAGAAAAGGAGACATCAGGCGTGATTAAGAAAAAAAAAGAGGGCATGCTCTTGCAGGTTAGTAAATTTTTTTGTTGTGCATTAAGTGAAAACTCGTGAGTTTTCAAGTATCTACAACTGTACCCGTGCTCTGAATATTTCCTAACGCTCTTTCTTGCAGATTTTTTTCCTGTAGCAGATCTTCACAAGATCTGGGTGAGGGTTATGAGTAGGAAACTCCCTAATTTGGCCCTTATTATTCACTGTTGGTAGTCCAGGCTGGCAGGGATGACACTAATGGAAGAAGTGCCAGGGCGATTAAAAAGGATTTCAAGGCTCTGTGTTGAGTAGTTAACGGGGCAGGAGCGCAGGTGGTGTTTGCCTCAGTCCCTGCAGTGCCTTCCTGGCTGAAGGGGAGCCCTCGTTGCAGTCTTAGCTGATGACAGATGAAATTCACCAACTAGTGAAAAAGCCTGCCTGCCTGCCTTCTAAAAACATATTCCCCAAAATACCTATTGTTTCACTAACATGGAGAGACCCCAGGAAAAAAAATTAACCCCCTCTTCAAAATACCTGTATTTTATTACATCAGAACTCAGAAGTCCCAACTGGTCACACATTTTCTTTTCCTTCTGGCCTGTCCCAAATGTGGGACAACATCAAGGGAGAAGTGTTTTTATGTGTCCAAACAAAACCAGAGAATAAACGTCCAGTAAAGGTAGGTTCATACAAAACTCACATGGTCTTTAATTAAATGTAACATAAGTGACATACACAGGCTAACAGGTCCAAAAAGACAGATGCATGAAATGGAAGTTAGTACATTTCTCGTGCCTGTTATTGAAATGCAGAACACTTGTCTTCACTACCGATACCGCGGGAGGTAACAAAACACAACATCGCTAACTCAGATTTCAGCTTTTATTTACAGAATTTGGATGGTAACGTTGTAGAATATTCTTTCTTTTATAAAAAAGTGTGTCTTATAAAAGCTGGCTGTTATCTACGGTTACTGGAGAGCTGTGCTGATGTGAGTATCAGTATTCAGAGCTTGATTAACTGACTGCTGTTCTACAGTTCAGCCTATACCTGCATTATATTTCAGTCAGTTCTGAGTTTTCAGTGATTATTTCAGTCAGTTCTGAGAGACAATGCCTCCTCTCTTACCTGATCACCTTCCCAAGGGACCCTTCTCCTGTGGGTTTTAGGGCTTTCAAATTTCAGTGCTAATACTGACTGCAGCATTAACACGGCAGGATAGAGACATGACAACCAAAAGGGATTCAGTACAAAATACTCAGCCATTTTACTCTTCTGCTTTTTTCAACTTTAATTTTGCCTTTTTACCCAAGGAAGTTCTGGCTGTCTCAGCTGGCTTTGCAGTTTCAGTACGTTTCTTTCTTAGCCTTTTCTTTCTGGAACGCACCAGGTCCTCACGTCCCAGTTCGACCATTTTTGCTTCCCACGACTTCATTTCATTCTCATACCGAACCTTATCATCTTGAGCAAGCTGCAGGTATGGCTGGAGGAAAATAAGGGATCAACAGTTATTGACAGAAGGGGCTTTCTCTGGAAAACTGCCATGGCACAAAGGTGACTTGGAACAACACCTGGGCACTGGCACGGCCCAGGTATTTGCCTTCGCCTCCAGATAATTAATTAAAAAAAAAACCAACCAAACAACAAACTTGCAGAAAAATACAAAACTTTAGCAGGCATCCTTTTTTTCATAGAGCCATCTGCAGATTCCTATTTCAGTATACTGAGAAAGCTGGCAGAAAATGACCCCCCCAGACAACCAAAGTTAATAAATTACCCCATGCACGTCACTTGTAGATTTGTTGCTTTTTCCCTGACTAAAGTTTTTCTATGAGCAGTAAATTATTATGATGGTGTTTAAAGATGTTATGCATTATTAGGAAAAAAAAAAATCAAATTGTTGCAAACGATTCCACCTTCCCCTCTCGACACTGCATCCACCAGCAGGCACACTGAACCTCCCCATCCTGTCCCACTGGCTTACACTTCAACAACACTGAGAATAAAATGCTCACAACAGGAATAAAGGTAACAACAGCCTTTTTCAAGATGCACGAAGATCTTAAGAGTATTTTCCTCAGTATTATATTTCGTGCAACTTGAGTTCCAGATTTTGTATAAATACATCAATTTTGACTCGAGTTCGTCACTTTCTGATTACATCAGAAAATTAAATCCAAATCCACTGACGTACCTGCTTTTCAGAAGTGGACAGTTTTTGCCAGGCATCAAGCACCTTCTTCAGCCTTGCCTAGGGGATACAGAACATGCAATACAGGAGGGTTATTTTAGGAACAGACTGACCTCAGAGGGGTACAGATCAATGCCAACACAAGTGAAAGTCGAGCATAAAGCAATGCGAAAAAGGCACAAAGTCACACAGGCTTAATACCCCACCCTTTTAATGTAGGAAAATAATACACTATACACTTCAAAACAAGCTGCTGGGCATCACCTGAGCCATGTTTACAGCCCGGGCCTTGTGCATGGAAAATCGAGGAACAAACCAGATCACCCATCCCAATTTACTGATTGAATGTGTAAGAAGTTGTGAGTTTGCTGAGGAGCTCTGGCATATTCTGTAACACCACCTGAGCTGTGGGAGGTACGGTAAACTGCTCCTGCAGGAACACGAGCAGACCACCACAACTCTTTGAAGAACTGACGCATTTCTACATCAAAACAGAGAGAAGAGTAATTCTCCCCTTACAGAAGGAACAGATGAAGTCTGTAACACTGAAGTGCAAAAAATACTGCAAATATTTTAAGTCTGTATGCCCACACACCAGTTTATAAAGGCCATGCCAGCAGCAGTATACAGCCAGGTCACTGCAGCCTAAAAAAAGGTAACCTAAGCAAAGCAACATCCAGATACTGAACTATTGGAACAGTTTCTTTGAAAATGAAAGAATCTAAGCGAGATTTTTCTGAATGCAACGGATCTATTTTAAAAAAAACAATCTTTCCTGGCTTACCGTAGGTGAAACTCCCTCACTTTCTTGAAATTTTTCTGACACAAAAATGTTAAAGCTGCTACGAGGTCTTTTAGGTTTTCCAAGCGTGTTCAATTCCTTTAAAAACAACAAGAAGAGTTATTCCATCTACCAAGCATGCACTTTTCCCCAAAACTAAGCTTACCATTTGTCTTTATATTTTACACAAAAAACCAAAAAACAACTTCTTTCTTTGGTGCTTTATTCTGTACACGGGACCGTATGTCATGATGCTTTCAGTGCTTGCCAAGACTAATGCTAAACTAAACTAAGAAAAAGGTGACAACTTGAGTTTTCACAGACACAGAAAAAGCATTTTAAACTGATTCTTACTTCAGCTAAGTCTTCCAGAAACCAAAAAGACTGTTATTAAATTCCACTCTGTAAGAAAGTCCTGTTGATAGGTTTTCTATTATTCTTCACAAGGCTTCTGTTTCTGCAGTGAAAAACTGCCTGCTTGCAGAGAGGAGGGCAGCTGGTGGACTGTGAGAGGTGAGAAGGTGGAACAGAACCAATTTCCAGGGAAACAGAACTGGGTTTCTGCTATCAGAACACTCTGCCTGCAGGGATGATGGCACGAGAAGGAAAGTACAGCAAGTTATGAATGCAATTACACTTCCTGTTTTCTCCAGTCCCGACATTCCCACTGGAGCCTGGGTGCTGCAAATTACCATCTGCTTAGGTATTAAATATGCTAGCTAAATTCCTTGTGGTGCCACACTCTAAAAAAAAAAAGGGATCAACACCATCATTTGGATTAAAAACTTCCTCTAAGTAGAGAGGTCTTTTAAACCAAATTAATTTCACTTTTGCTAGTTGGGGCAATGTCACACCAGCAGTTTAGTTCACAGAAATGAGCAAGCAATGGGTAACCCCTTTGACTGATTTTGCTACCCAGATGGTTCTGCCTCTCAGGATTTATGCACAAACCAGCTACAAAGGAACAGGGAAGATGCTAGAGAAGGATACTAGCAAAGAGATGCCCCTCTGCAGCCCTAATTCACCACGGCAGCAGCAACAGCAAAAAGTGGCAAAGCCCAAAGAAAGGGAGGAAAAAAGGCTGCTTCAAAGAACTGCTGCCTGGTAGGGGCCAACAAGGTAAGAGACACAAGGCCTTCCTGAAAAGCTATTTCTGGATGTCTTCCCATCCAAAGAAAGCCTTGCTGGTCCAAATGTCTTTTACTACCTATCCTTTCTCTATGGCAGCTCTAGGAATAGGGAGAAAAAAGCGTAGAGAAGCTACTTTTAAGCACGAAGATACGTGCTAGTTCTGTGTTCTTCAAGAACAGGAAAGCCACGACATTTATTCCATGGCATTTTTCGGGCTTTGTGTTTGTTGTGTGTTTTCTTTTACTCTGAGTTGGTTCTGTGTTTCTAAAAACACGCTTCAGCTCTGCTCTGTACACGAGACAGATTTCACCTTCCTTGAGAGAAAAGAAACTTGAGCTTCAAAACACTTACTCTTTTTGCCCGGATTGATCTTCTCTTTGCCATTTGTTTCCTCCTCTCCTCTTTCAAAGCTGCAACCTGGGCTGGAGTTAGTTGGGCTTTGTATTTGGTCATCTGCTCTCCATATCTTTCCCAGTCTGTCTTTCCTGCTTCCTCGTAAACCTACGGCACAAATCATCACCAGCCTTAAACAGACGGCTTTCAGTCAGAAGCACTTGACAATCAGACAAGTTAACACTTCTAATCTGAGGGGGGAAAAATTAAGACTGGAAAAAAATTACCCCATTCCCCACCCCCCTGTGCCGCTGGCAGGTGGAGGCAGAGAAACAGAGAACGAAATTGAGCCTGGGAAGAAGAGGAGGTGGGGGAAAGGTGTTTTTAAGTTTTTATTTTTCATTAGCCTATTCTGATTTGATTGGTAATAAGCTGATTCCCCCAGGTTGAGTTTGTCTTGCCCTGACTGGGCAGCAACTGGTGACGGATCTCTCCCTGCCTTTATCCTGACCCACAAATCTTTTGGTATATTTTCTGTCCAGCCAGGGTCAACCCACTACACTGCGGTGCATTGATGTCTGAACCTTTGACCACACACATGCTTTTTAAACTGTCGTTTAAAAAGTTTAAAAACAAACCAACCAACCAAAAAAAAAACCAAAAAACGACCACACTAAACAAAAAATCCACAAGGGACACCAAACCAAACAAAACAACCACCAAGACTGTATAGAGCTCAAAGTATTCAGGGCAAAGATAGATACACTCTTACCTGCTTCTGTGATGCTGGTAACTTCTTCCAAGCGCCTGCTATTATTTTAATCAGGTCCACGGTGCTCGCTTCTGTACATTAAAATGAGAAAGCATGAAAATAAAGATCAACATTGTATCTGCAGTGAAGCTCTTCAATTTTCCCACGGAAACCTGTCACAAGTATCTTTTTTCCCCGCACAATCATTTTCATCCTGCCGTAAAACCACCTTACTGTGGCGGCTAAAGGGAACTGCAGCATTCTGGGGGAGGGCAAAGGCACTGCTCGTGGTTCAACCTGCAGTGAAACAATGCATACAGGCCCGAAAATAACTGAGAACCACAAATCACTGCTGGCATGTATTGCCCAGGTGAGACCTTATGCACGTTTTTTTTTTAATTTATGAAGCACAGAAGACGAAGCCAACACACGTGTAGGCAGTAAGTACGGCCACGCTGCATTCGCTTGGGGTATGTTATGGATAAAACAGATGGGCTGGGTCTCTAGAATCAGGGTAACAGAGTTTAGGTCCTTCAGGCGGTTCGGTTTTACACGGACCGAGGTTCCGAATCCCGGTTCAGCCCCGCTCGGGGGGCGCAGGCACAGCGCAAACCGCGGGCCCCGCGGAACCGCCTCGCCTTCCCTCCCACCTCGTACCTGGGTTCTTTTCCTTGAAAGCCGGGCGGTTTTCCTTCATGAAGCGGAAATAGGCGGTGAGGGGCCGCTTCGGGCGCTGCGCCGAGCTGATCGCCCGCGACAGGCACTGCTCCGCCGCGCCGCCGGCCCTGCGCAACAACGGCCCCGCCGGTCACCGCCGCCCCGCCGGGGCCGGCCCCGCGCTCCCCGCAGCCCCAATTCCCCCGCCCCCCGCTCCCCGCAGCCCCACACTGCCCGTAACCCCGCACCTGAGGAGCCGCCGCCCGCCCGCCACCAGCCCCATGCCCAGGCCCGCGGCCCAGCCCAGCAGCGCCGCCATGCCCAGCCCCGCCGCGCATGCGCGGGACGGCAACCGAAGGGGCGGGGCCGCGGCGCCCTCACAAGGTGACCCGGCGGGAGCGAGTCGTTAAAATTAACTAAAAATGCGGTTGATGAGCTGGGACCGAAAACTGCGCCGCTTCAAACGAATTCCCCCCCCCCCCCCCATCGTAGTAAACAGCACAGAACGGAGTAAGGTTTCAGCTCTAATTTCCCGCGCCCCCCGTAAAATGGCATTCCTATAAAAAGGAGGTCCGAAGGAGCAGCAGTGGAGATGTTTATCTCCGGATTAAAACGCAACGAGCGAAGTTATGAATGATTACATTTACCGTCCCATTCCCACAATTTCAAAAGCAGAAGGGCCGAACTCGCCGCCACAAGGATCTTTTAAGAATCACAGGCTTACGTGTTGTTTTAGAGGTGCGAAGCCAAGACATTCATTTTTTTAATATCCGCATACAATAATCTTAACAACGCGGGTGCTGGTGTCGCATCCTTCCGCTGGTTTCAAACTGTGATGCAAAGTCATCCTGGTGTTGCACGGCACACATCAGAAACGCCGCCAGCTGAAGCACAAATGTTTTCAAACCACCCCAAATCCAAGAGAAAGCGAGTATTCCAAAACACGAGTCAAACTTTTGAGTTTTCATACGGTTCAGCAAGGGTATTGCAAATCATTTCTAATACAAACAGATTACCGCCGATCCAGACAAAAATAAAAGCTCTTGATAGCATATGGTCGAAGTTTTTTTACCACCGTTTGAGTAAGAAGTATCAGCGATGGCTTTGCCTTCCTAGCTACATCATCCTCGTTCAGGTATAATAAAGCACTTTATAACAAAAAAAAAAAAAAAAAAAAAAATTCCATTTATTCAGTTTGCAAACTGAACAGGGATATTTTAGGAGAGCCACTCTTGATCAACCTGTTGTTTCAAATATCATTACATCGTAGACAAAACTGTAAGACAGAAATTACATTTTCCCACATGTGATCCTTTGGGTCAGTAGATTGGCAAACACAAAGATTAATATTCAACCGGTAGGAAAAAAAGCTCCTACTGTGCACTCTCACCCCCCATACCCTAAATGCCAATTTAGCATATATTAGAATAATGAAAAATAACCCTAAATCAAATATATTTCTCATCTTAAAAATGTATTTTATGGTGACAAATTTCCCAACTGGAAGTCAGTTTTCTTTCATGTGCGAGGTACAGAGAAAAAACATTTAGTCATCCATTTTATTTTCAGACAACCAAGAAGAATTCACGGTAGGCAATCAGAGTTTTTCTGCTTCTAATCCATCTTTTAGGAACAGACTGCCCCTTCTTCAGCACTACTGGTTTTCCACATGCACACTCTGAAGCAACTGAAGTGCCAATTAATGGAAAAGTTAAACTCCTTCAAGTGTGAGGAGTTTACTGTTCGTGGTTATCTCCTCCATAGATGAATACAAGTGTAAAATGGCCTTAAACTACTTGAAATCCTATATTCAGCAGTGGGCAGAGCATGCTAAATCCGTTAGGCTAAAGCTAGCATACAAATTAATTGCAACCCAGCTCTAAGTAGTACATGATGCATAGCTTTATTTGCCCTTCTGTCTGCAAGACACATGCACATATACCACTGGTGATTCTCTAATGTTAGAACAAGTTTTTTTTTTCCTTTAAAGATATGCATGAGTTAAAATAAAAATAAAATAATCAAGAAAAGTAGTAGAAAATGCATTTTATTTATATGGAAAAGGCTACATTTAGATTTGTAAAAGGTCTGTGATAGTGTTACGTCAAAAATCAGTTGTGAATAGCAACAAAATGGTTACATATCTCTCTACATAGCAGTGCAATTAGTTCTCATTGCAATAAAATTAAGTATGCAACAGAATCAAAACCAAGTGTTTCTCCATAATCAGCATACAAAGAATTACAGTGCAAAGATCATTTTAGGTTTTAAGAAATCTGCCGTCAGTCTTTAGAATATCCTAATGGGTGGGATATTCCAATTATTTTCATTACTAGCAGTTGTATCTTGTCAATACTGTGCACAAGCAGGTCAGTCTAAAATGACATTTTAACAATTACATTGTAAATAAAATATTTAGTCTATACAGTAAAAAAATACAAATTATGTAAGTGAACTAGCAAAAAGAAATTTGAATACATTTATGAAACAACAACATACTTCAATGACAAACATACAGTATTCGTCACATAAAAACAGCTACTTTTCCCAGTAAAAATAATTTGGTTGCTTTACAACTGCATTATAGACCTTGTAGTGTGAAGATGCAGATGTCCAACGCTTAAAAACCCATAATAAATGTCTTCTGCAAAGCATACAAAGAGGATAAATATTCTTATCACAGTCATAAGGTTATTTTTGAAAGTTTATTCTCCCTTGCTCCAGAAACACACTTACATGGGTGGAAAAAAAAAATTGAAGGGGAGTCATGTTACATCAAAACCGTAAGCTGTGCTCCGTTTCCTTCTGATTTTGAGAAAAACCCTAGAATTTACAGTACTCTGTGGTATACGAAAAAGTCTTCACAAGTTTACATTGCATATTTCTGAGTCCATTCCCTCGCGTGTCTGTTGTATCTGTATGTGCAGAAAGAAGGCATTGCAGGGAGGAGCTGTTAGTGATACACTGACAATGGCCACGTAGTTACTTCACACAGGTCAACCCATTACAGCTGTCCAGACTCAAAACCAACCTGACAGGTTTGCATTAAAATGCATATCGCTGTTCATACTTAATCTGCATTCCACAACCTTACTTGGACCTTAGCAGGAAATTGCTGTTAATTATTCCTAAATGCATGTGCCATTAACGGCCTGACAAAGTTCACGCATTTTAGTTGCATAAAATTCAGTCTAATTAACTGGAGTTTTATTCTCCCTTCTGCCCTGCCATGGTTATTTCAGAACTTGAAAGGAAAATTTTTCTGAAATGCATTTTTTACTAGATTTTTAAGTCTTCCCCTTCTGGTACGAAGCTGTTTAGAAAACCCAAAGATAAACAACCGTAGAGAGTTCATAACTTCCCCTCTGGTCTTTACTTTTGCTACATTCCACTTTTCAGACTGCATTCACTTTCTTCTGGGTCATCCAGAGACAAAATGCTGACAAATTTTTAGATCTGTTTCTAAAGATCAGTATAACAACTCATGTACTAACTGGTTTTCTTCTTAAGAATCTGCTACCGTACAAGTCTTAGGATCTTTACTTATACTGAAACATCCATAGATAAATGCTATGGGGTAACCAGCCATATAGTTAACTTCCTAAATTCCAGATGAGATAAAAGTAATTTAAGAGGTGATCGGCAGAGGATGATAAAGCTATATAGTCAAGACTACACATTTTCTCACTTTTTCTAGGAGTGATTAAATTTTGAGTTTTGGAGAGAAAAAACACCTTCACAAACAGGAGGNCCCCCCATCGTAGTAAACAGCACAGAACGGAGTAAGGTTTCAGCTCTAATTTCCCGCGCCCCCCGTAAAATGGCATTCCTATAAAAAGGAGGTCCGAAGGAGCAGCAGTGGAGATGTTTATCTCCGGATTAAAACGCAACGAGCGAAGTTATGAATAATTATATTTACCGTTCCATTCCCACAATCTCAAAAGCAGAAGGGCCGAACTCGCCGCCACAAGGATCTTTTAAGAATCACAGGCTTACGCGTTGTTTTAGAGGTGCGAAGCCAAGACATTCTTTTTTTTTAATATCCGCATACAATAATCTTAACGACGCGGGTGCTGGTGTCGCATCCTTCCGCTGGTTTCAAACTGTGATGCAAAGTCATCCTGGTGTTGCACGGCACACATCAGAAACGCCGCCAGCTGAAGCACAAATGTTTTCGAACCACCCCAAATCCAAGAGAAAGCGAGTATTCCAAAACACGAGTCAAACTTTTGAGTTTTCATACGGTTTCAGCAAGGGTATTGCAAACGTTTAAATCACTTCTAATACAAACAGATTGCCGCCGATCCAGACAAAAATAAAAGCTCTTGGTAGCACATTCTGATGGTCGAAGTTTTTTTACCACCGTTTGAGTAAGAAGTGTAAGCGATGGCTTTGCCTTCCTAGCTACATCGTCCTCGTTCAGGTATAATAAAGCACTTTATAACAAAAAAAAAAAAAAAAAAAAAAAAATCCATTTATTCAGTTTGCAAACTGAACAGGGATATTTTAAGATTAAGAGAGCCACTCTCGATCAAGCTGTTGTTTCAAATATCATTACATCGTAGACAAAACTGTAAGACAGAAATTACATTTTCCCACATGTGGTCCTTCGGGTCAGTAGATTGGCAAACACAAAGATTAATATTCAACCGGTAGGAAAAAAAGCTCCTACTGTGCACTCTCACCCCCCATACCCTAAATGCCAATTTAGCATATATTAGAATAATGAAAAATAACCCTAAATCAAATATATTTCTCATCTTAAAAATGTATTTTATGGTGACAAATTTCCCAACTGGAAGTCAGTTTTCTTTCATGTGCGAGGTACAGAAAAGAAACATTTAGTCATCCATTTTTATTTTCAGACAACCAAGAAGAATTCACGGTAGGAAATCAAGAGTTTTTCTGCTTCTAATCTATCTTTTAGGAACAGACTGCCCCTTCTTCAGCACTACTGGTTTTCCACATGCACACTCTGAAGCAACTGAAGTGCCAATTAATGGAAAAGTTAAACTCCTTCAAGTGTGAGGAGTTTACTGTAACATTCGTGGTTATCTCCTCCATAGATGAATACAAGTGTAAAATGGCCTTAAACTACTTGAAATCCTATATTCAGCAGTGGGCAGAGCATGCTAAATCCGTTAGGCTAAAGCTAGCATACAAATTAATTGCAACCCAGCTCTAAGTAGTACATGATGCATAGCTTTATTTGCCCTTCTGTCTGCAAGACACATGCACATATACCACTGGTGATTCTCTAATGTTAGAACAAGTTTTTTTTTTCCTT